CCTGCTGTCAGTGAGTGGCCCGGCACGTCACCCAGCACTGGAGGGGCGGCCTCAGCAGTGCCCAGTCCAGGGGCACCATCCCTGCCCTGCTCCCGCTGGCCACCCCATTGCTGACCCAAGCCAGGCTGCCGTTGGCCTTCTTGGCCACCTGGGCACACTGCTGGCTCCTGGTCAGCCGGCTGTCGCCCAGCACCCCCAGGGCCTTTTCCACCGGGCAGCTCTCCAGCCGCTCCTCCCCAGGCCTGCAGCGCTGCTGGGGTTGGTGTAACCCAAGGGCAGGATGCGGCCCTTGGCCTTGTTGACCCTCAATAACACCCAGGAACATCTCCCCTTTGCTCAGGTTGTTCTCTTCTCCCAGCGCAGCACCCTGGGATGAACCAGCAGATAACCAAGAGCCGGCAGCATCCCCACACCCCCACCACGACGCGCAGACGTACGAAGCCCTGGCGACAGCCCCAGCTGCACCCACACCTTTGGGAACAAGAAGATTCCAGCTCTGTCCCGGGAGCTGGGATCTAGAGGCCCTCCAGGGTGCTGCAGGCCAGGTGGGGAGCGAGATCCACCCCTGCATGTTGGGGGGCAGCTCTGGATACGACAGGAACCACACGCACACCTCCACTGATCACTGTTATTAACACTTTAAACGGCTTCAACGGAGAAACAAAAGCAGCAGCGAGCGGTCATGGCCAGGATGGGAGAGAGCACTGAAGCATCAATGAAGTTCTCCTCGTAAGAAGGGATGGATCAATACGTCCAGCACGTGAGAGCCAGCTATAAAGGAGCTAACGCTCCCGAGGTTTCATTTATACTCCATTGAACGCACAAAAAAATCCTGAACTTCGGCTGTGCCAATACCGACTGCTCTCCTGGGGCTCCCTCGTTACCCTAAGAAGTCCAGTCAGAGAGTCACAGAATGGTTTGGGTTGGAAGGGACCTTAAAGATCATCTGGTTCCAACCCCCCTGCCATCAGCAGGGACATCATTTCAGCTTCCAAAGACATTTCCAGATCCTGCAGCTGTACAAGAGAAACAAAAATGTACGTATTGATGTTTTCAGATACGACAAACACGGTGGAAAGGCTCAAAACAACTACCCAGACTCATGGCTTTTCAGATGAATTTTCTTTTAAGGAGACATTAATTTATCAACTCTTCACAGAATCACAGAATCACAGAATGTTGGGGGTTGGAAGGGCCCTCTGGGGGTCCCCCAGCCCAACCCCCTGCCCAAGCAGGGTCACCCACAGCAGGCTGCACAGCACTGCGGCCAGGTGGGGCTTGGATATCTCCAGAGAAGGAGACTCCACAAAAGTTCCTCCTTCTCCAAGCAACCTTGGCGGACAACAAGAAGCAGGATCTCAGAAACAGGGGCCCAAGGACTGGGGAAAAGAAGATTTTTTTTCTGTTCCAAACCCAGGTCTGCAGACCCTGCTAAAACACGCAGTCTGCACAGGTGATCAACAGGTAAAAGAGCGAAAAGCAAACAAAAATGACTCGCCAAAGTCTTGTGGCAATCCGGCCTGGAAGCATCCATTAATACGTACCAGCAACAGACAACGTATTCAACACACAATGTAAATTTGGCAGATCCCATGAACCTGTGAAGTGATTTTAGCAAGTCTTAAAGCTTGCTGATAGCTGAAAATCCAGTTACAACTGCTGATAACATGAACCAATGTAGAATTACAGCTCAAAGTCACAGAATCCCAGAATCCCAGAATGTTGGGGGTTGGCATGGCCCTCTGGGGGTCACCCAGCCCAACCCCCTGCCCAAGCAGGGTCACCCACAGCAGGCTGCACAGGACCTTGTCCAGGTGGGGCTTGAATATCTCCAGAGAAGGAGACTCCCCAGCCCCTCTGGGCAGCCTGGGCCAGGGCTCCGTCACCCTCAGAGGGAAGAAGTTCTTCCTCGGGTTCAGCTGGAGCTTCCTCGGCTTCACTTTGTGCCCGCTGCCCCTTTAAGTTTCGCTTAAAAAACCAAAAATACCGTTAAGAACATACTCACAAAGCAAAGTTGCTTCTGAAAGTAAAAATGTGGATCCCATGCAAGCAGCACCTTCCCCGACCCGATCCCACGGCGGGGTCCGGAGAGGGACTGCAGCGCATTTAGGAGGGCTGCTGGCAGCGTCGAGCTGTTTCTCTTCTCATCTGCTCCACGAAGCTCGGCACGGCCACGTAAGCCAATTCCGAAGCCAATCCACACAAAACAGGGCTTCTGGCAGCCGGACGCCACGGCCGCTCCCGGCGCGGGCAGCCCGCTGCGCTCCCACCTCCGGGAAAAAGAAGAAATCCGTACCCAGCAAGCTGCAGGGCAGCAGCCAGCCAGCTTCCAGCAAGGAGCACTCTTGGCAGAGGATTATCACCAGAAAGCCTTTTTTAGCTGGGGGAGATGCTAATCTTGACAGGTCACTGCCCAGATCCCTAAGCTAGAGGTTAAGTATCTTCGAAATTAATGAGGCTGCAGCCTCGAGATGTCCCCGCCAGCACCAAGCCACGCAAACTGAAAAAGAGAAGCTGATAGCTCACGAGGGGACCTAATAAATGCTTAAATATCTGCCGGGTGGGGGTCAGGAGGCCGGGGCCAGACTCCTTCCAGTGGTGCCCAGCGACAGGACAAGGGGCAACGGGCACAAACTGAAGCCGAGGAAGCTCCAGCTGAACCCGAGGAAGAACTTCTTCCCTCTGAGGGTGACGGAGCCCTGGCCCAGGCTGCCCAGAGGGGCTGGGGAGTCTCCTTCTCTGGAGATATTCAAGCCCCGCCTGGACAAGGTCCTGTGCAGCCTGCTCTGGGTGGCCCTGGAGCCCCTCCACCACTCCTCCCAGTTTTGTATCATCAGCAAACTGGTATTTTGGAGAGCCAAGTGATACAACCGAGAGTTTTACTGTGTCACTTCGGGTTCATTCCAGAAGCTGAGGGCCTTCTGCATATCCTCGCTGGTGAACATTCCACCCAAAGCCATGCAAAAATGTTCCGTCTGAAAAAAAAATGTTCCGTCTGAACATGAGGAAGAACTTATTCCCTCTGAGGGTGACAGAGCACTGGAACA